TGGAGAGACGCACCAATGACGCTTTTGGCAAAGGAGGCGCGCTTGAGCGTGGCCAGGCCCAGATCCCCGATTTTGACGGAGCCCGTAGGGCCGGTGATAAAGACGTTGTCGCACTTGAGATCCCGGTGCAGGATGGGGGGAACCCGGGAGTGAAGGAAGTGAAGCCCTCGCAGGATTTGGCGGCTCCAGCGCTGAAGGACTCGCGGCTTCATCTCGCGGAACCGCCTCAGATACCTGGGGGAGGGCGCACAGCCAGGGTCGTGGCGGGGGACCGACACTGGGAAGTGCCGCCTCGCCCCAACCGTGCCCACGCCTCCACGTCTTCTGCCAGCCATCTCCTAGCCTAGGTCCGCGCCGGGCCCCCGGGGAAGATAGTCAGACATAAGGTGACAAAACGGGTCGGGTGGTCAATGCACGGACAGGGTTGCAGCTGAGGTGCTGAGCAAGCGCCGGAAGGGATGACTAACCGTCCCAAGCGTGGGGACGGCTTCACAGGGGAAATAACTTTGGCGTTGCGTCCTGAAGGATGAGTAGAGGTTCAAGGGTGAAAAGGGGAAGGGATGGAGAATTTTCAGGCAGGCAGGACACCCTGCTCAGAAGCACGAAGACAGCAAGGGACAGGGCAGGGTGGGAGGAGATGCTGGGAATTTGGTTTGTCAGGAACTTAGGCTGAAGATGACACTGATCCTAAGGGCCGCGTGAGCAGTTTAGCCAATGTGGACTTTATCCCGAGGGCATGCAAGACCTTGAAGGGGTTTTAAGGAGGAGAGTAACGAGTTCAGATCTGCCACTGGAAAAGATCCTCCAAGCTGCAGGAAGATAGAATAGCTTGGAGGGGTGGCAGAGGGCAGGAGGGTCCTTTATAGGGGGCTGCTACAGGGCTCCAGACTAGTGAGGTGGCAGCAAGGTGTGGGCACGGGTGTGGCACCGAAAGCCAAGTGGGGAGATGTTAAGGAGGAACTTGGAAACAGACTGATGGGAGGGAGGCAGAGTGGGGAGAGAGGAGGACTCTGGGGAGATTTTTGAATGGAGTGCTGGGTGGACATTGCCATTCACGGAGGCAGGGACACAGGCCGGTTGGGTGGGTGGGAGATGGTAAGCCTGGTTTTAGATCTAGATGTAGAGAGTTTGAGGAGCCTGGGAAAAGTTCAGGAAGCAGTTGGGGACACATACGAGCCCCCGCCCCACCAGGTGCAGAACTCACGTCTTGAGTGTGCCTGAGGTCATGAGTTCCGTGACCAGAACGATGCAAACCTGGCCCCTCAGCACTGACTTCCATGAGTCGTAGAAGCGGACGATGTTGGGGTGCTGCAGCCCCTTCAGCATCTCCACTTCCTCAGAGAAGCGCTGCCGCTCAGCTCGAGACAGTTTACGAGTCTGTGGGATGAGGGACGGGGGTCACCTCAGTCCCAGGACCCCCACAGAGAGGATGATGGAGCCCCTGGAGCAGGGCTGGGGGAAAAGGTGAGGGTTGGAGACCACAGATGGGGTCGGGTTGGTGGGACTGCTCACCCAACTGGCTGCAGACCCCAAACTCTGGGTAGGTCCCCTTGGGCTGCTCCAAGGAAACACCCATCCTGAACCTGGGGCAGCCCCCTGGACCCCCCGCTGGACATAAGCGCCTTTGTGCAGTCAGGTCTGGGAGCCCTGAGCTCAATAGCGCCTTTGTCCCGCCCAGGCAAGCCGTGGGGCGGGAGGGGGTGCCCCAGGGCTGGCAGTGGGCGGGCAGGCAGCAGGCAGGCAGCAGGCAGGCAGCAGGCAGGCCTTGGGCAGGGAATAGGGGCCTGCAAGGGGGTTGGCCCCTCAAACTGGGAACTGCTAGATCCAGATAGAAGGAGGGAGGGCTGTGCAGGGAGGTACAGAAAAAAAGATCCAGGAACAGGTGCCAGGAGACCGCCCCCCTCCTCCCACCCCCCCACTTTGGCCGCCTCTCCTTGCCTGGCCTAGAGCCTGGGGTGAGGCACTGGCAAGTGCAAGGGGAGAGCCTCATGCCAGGGCCAAAGTGGAGGGACCCTTCCCCCCCAGGCTGTCCCCCAATCTGAATCCGAAGCTTGGGGCCCAGAGTTGACTGAGTTCTCCCTACCCATATGTAGAGTGGGAACAATGGGAGGAAAGTCCTGTGGACCAACATCCCTCTAAAACCCATGGGCTCAGTGCCTTTGCGTCTGGGGAGAGCCCAGGTAGGCAGTAGGATGAGGAGGACTGGACTAAGGCCAGGGCTGGAGCTCCCTGTCCCCACCTCCCTGCAGCTGTAGGGAATTCCAGAAGACTGAGTGCTCCAGAAGGGGCCTATGAGGGCCCCACTCTGCCACAACTGCCCTAGATCTTCTGGAAGTGGAGAAGACCCTGGCCCAGCTCCTGACCTCCCGAATCCCAGCTTCCTGGTCTGCAAAGAAGTGGGGGGAGGAGGGAAGAGCAAGAGGACTAGGGTCATAACTGAGGGTCTCAGGACATAGGGGAAAGGGAGAGGAAAAGATAGTGGGTACCACTGCAGAAAACTGGTGGGGCCAGCCCTCCCCAGATTGAACTGGTTCCCCCACCCAATTTCCTATCCTGTTTTCCAGCTCTTAGGGGTGAATATGAAGACAATAAAGTGAGAATGTCCATGCCCATAGGCGAGCCACTATACACCACATGCCTCAGTTTCTCCTTCTGCAGCCCACAGTCAGCCAGAGATCATCAAGGCAAGGAGAGCAGGGGTGTCTGGACATTTAACAGGAAAATACATCCTTCCCTTGATGCTGTCCCCCCTTCCCGTCTCCCATCCCAAGACCTCCAAAAGGTCCCATCCCGAGGTGCCACCGAGGGGGCACTCAGCCACACCTGCAGCTCACACCAGGCCACCTCCACCGTGGTGTCGGTGTCTAGCCCTCGATACACTGTCTTGAAGGAGCCACGTCCAATCTCGATATCAAACTTGAGGTATCGGCCGTCTGGGGACGTTGCCACAGCCTGGGTCTCCGTGTCCTCCTTTTCTTCCTGCTCCCGCTGCCGCTCCCGGGCTGCGGTTTCGGGGGCCCTCGGCGCCTCTCCGGACCCCGTGAGTCCTGGAAGCACGGAATCTGCAGCGCTCGCAGGGGCTCCCCCGGTCCATGTGCCCTCCGGGCGCTCTTCGGAGCAAGGCGGTGGGCTCCTCGCGGGGCCGGGACCGGCGGAGTCCAGAGGATAGGGGGGTTCCGGAACGGATGAGGTTGGCTGGGACCAAGAGCTGAGCAGCCCCAAGTCTACTGAGCTGCGGCGGCTGAGACGAGAAGAGCGCGGCCGGGGCTCAGCCCTCCCGGAGAAACGGCGCGCTCGGCGAATAGGGGGCCCGAGGCGGGGCGGCCCCGCGGTGGTGAGAGGCGGCGGAGGCCGCAGGGCCAGGTCGGCCTCGGTCTGGGACATGGGGACCGTGGTCTCTGTGTTCGTGGGTGCCAGCATGGGGAAGGGCCGGGCGCCGCAGGACGGAAAGCCAGACGGCCAAAGAGAGGGTCTGACAGGCTCACCGGCTGGCTGCGCAGAGCTCTGGATGAGCGGCCCCGAGATCGCCTGTCCCACAGCCCCGCCCCCGACCCGCCTC